TAGCTCTTCGATCGTTGATTTGGTGGCGTCAGAATCTTCGGGAACAATAAAAGTTCGAGGGGTAAGAAAATCCTCCTCCTCTTCTTCTATCTCCTGCTTCCCCGATTCGGTCGAGGCTGGTGGCTGTGATTGCTATTTGACTTCCTATTTATCTTTGATGCTTGACCTTTCTGAGGTTGATAGTGTCGATATCGGTGTTACCTCATCGATCACAAACATTTTCTTTGCAGCATGCTGCTCCCCGTATATTGTTTTTACATCGTCCGATGTTGGGAATTTTATCATTTGGTGGAGAGTCGAAGGGACTGCCCACATATTGTGGATCCAAGGCCTTCCGAGCAGGGCATTGTACCTCATGTCGCCCTCGATTACGTGGAACTTGGTATCTTGAATGGTTCCAGCCACGTTCACTGGTAGAATAATCTCCCCTTTAGTTATTTTACTGGCCATATTGAAGTCGTTTAAGACCCGAGCTGCGGGCACGATTTGATTTTGTAGGCCGCTCCACGACCCTCGATCGGATGATATTCGTCGAGCTACCTGGATCCACTAAAACACGCTTAACTTGAACTTTATTTAATAAGATAGAAATTACTGGAGTGTCGTTGTGGGGGCTGAGAAATAACTTCTGCTTCTTCGTTATTGAACGATAAAGTGCCTTCGGGCACATAATCTCGGGTTCATTTTTCTCTAGTGATTGATACTTTAGTACGTTTGAATATGGGTCCCTATGGAATGTCGACCCCACCGGCGATTATATGAATGACATGTTCGGGTTCCTCCTGTTCATTTTTTCTGTTGGCGTCCCTTTCTTTGAAATGATTCTTGGCACGATCGCTGAGGAACTCTCGAAGGTGGCCCTCATTGAATAGACGGGCTACCTCCTCTCTTAATTGCCTGCAATCCTCGGTCTTGTGACCATGCGTGCCATGATACTTGCACATCAAATTTGGGTTTCTTTGGGAAGGATCGGTTTGTATGGGTCTGGGCCACCTAGTATCTCTGATCCTTCCGATTGCCGATACAATGCCCGATGCATCGATGCTAAAGTTATATTCTGATAATCGAGGTACCTCTGTGGGATCGGCATACTTGTCAAAACCACTTTTGCTCATAAGTCCCCTAGAATTCTGTCCTCGATCACTTCTTCGATCGTTCCGGGCGAAATTGCGTCCTGAACCATTGTTCCTTCGATCTACGGTATATAGTTAATATCGGTCTCTGTTCGACCTTATCTCCCTGTCGATGTCCCTATGGTTTTCAACTGCTGACCTGTTTGGATGTACTGAACCAGAATGGGCTCCTAATTGGTCGTCCTCGACCCTGATCTTTGATTGATATCGATTGTGTATATCTGCCCAAGTTACAGCTGGATACTCGATCAAATTTTATTTCAACTGACGTGATGCTATCGAACTTCGCTCGTTCAACCCTTGGGTGAAAGCTTGAACGACCCAATCATCTGTGACCGGTGACAACTCCATGTGTTCCATTTGAAATCGGGACACGAACTCCCTCAGCATTTTATTATCCCTTTGTCTTACCTTGAAAATGTCTGATTTCCTCATTGCGACCTTTATGGCCCCGGCGTGTGCCTTTACGAAAGAATCTGCTAACATGGCAAATGAGTCGATGGAATTTGGTGGCAGGTTGTGATACCAAATTATTGCTCCCTTCGAAAGGGTCTCTCTGGATTTTTTCAACAGCACAGATTCGATTTCATCATCTTCTAAATCCTTATCCTTGATGGCGCATGTATATGAAATAACATGCTCGTTGGGATCGGTGGTCCCATTATATTTGGGTATATCTGGCATATGAAACTTCTTTGGAATAGGCTTCGGAGCCGCACTTAGAGGAAACGACTTTTGTACAAACTTCTTCGAATCCATACCTTTCAAGATTGGCGGTGTCCTTGGTATCTGATCAACTCGAGAGTTGTATGTCTTCACTTTTTTATCGTTGGCTTCGATTTTCTTCTCCCCTGATTCAATTCTTTTGGTGAGCTCCTCGAGCATTTTCATTACCGTAGGATCAGTCCCCGATTCGTTACCATTCGACCTTTCCGGTACTGGATCGGTACGGTGAGTAATTTTCGGCTCGACCCTATTCGAAGCTCTATGTTGATTTTGTAACTGAGCAATAGCGGCTTGCTGAGCCTGAAGCATCTCGAATATCACTTGGAGACTGACTCTTTTGTCTCCTCTACCCCATGTTCCTTGGCCACTAGATCGGCCTTCCCTGAGTACACTCCCATCGAGATTTGCGCCTAGGTCCGCATTTAGAGCAACATGCGAACTGACACCGATTGGGTTGGCAACCGGTGTTCCACCGAGATTAGCCTGTGGCACCTCGACTCCTGGAGCAATCACATTTTCGTTTTCACCGTGGAATCCGAGGCCATTGTCACCGTGTGTGGATGCGTTTTGTGAGTTTGACATGTTTTAACATGAAAGCACAGATACTTGACAAGAACAAGCGTAAAATAATGTGTTTTACCAGAATCAGTACTGAACAATCACTATTATCCTTAGCCCCACAGTGGGCGCGAAACTGTTTACCCTAAAAATTGAGTAACAATTAAACTTATATTGTGGTTTTAAGGATATATGATTTAAACTAGCACCAATTGATAAACAACGAATTAAATAGATAACTTGGACAATAAAATAAATCAAACCGGTCTGCAAACGATGCCTCGACCTCGATTCGAGATAGTCTCGAGGTTAGTTAATAAGAACAATATAGGATAGAACAAATAACGATGAACAATGAAAGCAACGTATATGTATATTCTTATCCGTGAATTATGTTCGTGGCTACAAGTGATTGTGATCCCTCTTTATATAATAGAGGAATCCTAATTAAGGTACAATTCTAATAATAGAAGTAGATCCCATGATTGGCGCTAATAACTACTTTGATTTGATCTGTTCCGGGATTTCCGCCCTGACTTTCTACCGGTTACTAATATCTCGCCATTCCGTTATTACGCCTTACTCGAAGTCAGTCATGCTCGATTTCGATCTCGATCCCGATCTATTATGATTTTACCCTCGAGGCAACTCCCCTGCCAACGAAATCGGGTATGCCCGATTTCGACCGTATACAACCTAATTCTAAGTCAAATATAGGAGTACTCTGTATGTTATAGTTAAAGACTTTTAGAAAAAATCTAAGAGAAAATACTCGAAAGTAGATCGCGCTAATTACGTGCCTTTTGATAGGGAAGAAATTAGTAAATAGCTATTTTTGGACCGTTAATCAAACTTTAGCGACTGTATTAAAAGCTATTAACATTTAGATAGGGTTTTTACCACTTTTAGCATGCGCCAGAAACTATTTAAATCTGTTAGCCGAAAAAAGTGTATAAAACTTGTATGATTTTTGTATATAACATACAAAATATATACATAAAATATACAAATTTTATTTATTTTTTCGACTAATATTTTTATATCGGCTATACAATGTCATTTTTCTAGTTAGGATACTCATTTAATTTGGACAACAAATATTCCCAACTAAGACACACAACAAGTGGAGTTTAAATTTTTATAATTAGTTCAAACTCAAAGCACGATTCTTGGAGTCGGAAATTTCATGATTAAGTGTAAAAATTTACTGGAATTTCAAATCCCATGAATAATTCATGAGGTTCAAACCTTTATAAGTTCAAATCTCAAGACCAATTCACGGGGTTCAAACTTTTTTGCAATTTAAGAGTGAAAAACTATTGGAGTTTTTAAACTGCAGCATAAGATGATAGAGTTTTAATTTTTTTTGGGTTTTTCATCCGATGTCCAGTACCCGTATTGGGACCCCATTATATTCGGATTCAAGCCGGAAGTCCTACATTGGGGGTAAAACACTTCCTAACAAAGACGACTTCATATCCAGAGCTCGAATCCGAAACCTCTAATTAACAATAAATGAGTACTTACCATTCCATCACAAACCATTGTTTGTGATAGAGTTTTAAACTTCTTACATATGAAACTTCAAACTAGTTTGCTAGAGTAAGAAAACCAAATCTCTAAATCCACTAAATTTTCTCGTTCTTATTCTATTGTGGGATTCTAGTCCTTGGTTTTGTTGTATTGTGTAGTTAACTTTTGAATTTCAATATACTGTATTGGTAAGAGGTTCGAACTCCATGCTAAGTTCTTCCATATTTTAACTAAAAATATTTTTATTTAAATTTTATTCGGCATTAAAAAGAGTATCTATTTTGTTATTACATTTTATATAGTGGCTAGAAACTCATAATCGGCCCAAAAAGTAGTCACCTCGCCCAGTTTTCCTTAAAAATTATCTGTTGGTCATTGTCCACGTATATTGATCGAGACGGTGGTAAGGAAAAAAATAAGTTGGGTTTCTATATGAATCTTCTAAGTTGCTCCGACACGGTAATTTAGGTGCCGCACCCGTGTCAATACGACATTAGTATGGGCGTGGGTATGAGATCCGTACGGGATTTGGTCAAATAATTTTTGGTACTTTGACCACGAAAAACGGAAAAATTCGAGACGAGATACAATTTGATTCCAAAAATCAGAACCAAAACTAGGGTAAATCGGTAGAAAATAGTATACCTTATTAAAAAATCAATCATTTACTTATCTACACTTTACAAGCTATAAGTAAGTATTCCACATAATTTCTCATAATTTTGGGATATTTTTATTTTTTTGAATTATTTTTAGTTGTATTCCCGCACCTGTATCTGTACTAGGATCCGTATCCTCGAATCTTAGAATTTAAATCTTGAAGGATCCGACCTTTAGATCCGCACCCGTATCGGACACCCGTACCCGTATCCGAACAACTCAGTGAATCTTCAATGATTATATTACTCCATATAAATTATTATGCAAAACAAAAATATTTTACTATATCTCTTCTGACTTTGACATATAATAAAGTGGTCAATCTATAAATATAAAAAAGTTGGCGGACTGACTTTGACATTTCTAAACCTCATGTGGCATAAGCGGACATCTTTCATCCAATATACTGCCACGGTGAAGACCCAAACGACCCCTTTTATCATTTCTTAAATTTCCCAATCCCAAAATAAAACCCCCTTTTTCCCGATTCAGATCAAATTGAATCAATTGATTTAAGGTAAAATTTCCTAAGCTTGAATCTTAATTACATATTCAACTGTAATTCTACTTGCAATTTTAGTTCTTGAGGGATTTTGTATTATTTTCAAAAATTTAATGGCCTTAATAATCAGCTTTATTAAGTGATTTTTTCGTGCTGTTACTGTTGAGTGTTAGGCAAGATTTTTAGCATAATATTCAATATCATTTCTTAGTTTGAAGTATATTTCTAGTTGCAAGTTTAGTTCTTGAGTTTTTGTATTGTTTTCAAGAGATTTAAAGGTGAAAACTTTTGGGCTTATTTAATGTGATATAACCTACCCGTTTATCAGCTTATTATGAGAATTTTTGGGTTCTCACTGATTTTATTTTTTTATCTTGAGCTTTATATGTATATTGGACTATAATTCTACTTGCAAAACCCAGTTCTTTAGATTGTTTTCTAAGAATTTAAAGGAGAAACCTTTTTGGGTGTATTCTATGTGAATTATCCTACCCTTTTATCAGCTTATATCCAGTGTTGTCAAAGGCGCGCTTAAGCCCTGAAGCGAGGCTCAAAACATGTTGAGCGCTTCGCTTTGTGGGCGCTTTAGTGTCGCATGAAGGCTCTAAGGCATACTTTTCCTTGCCAACAAGTGTAATCCTGAAAATGCGACATTAAACATTTTATATTTCACTTTATCGTAATTTTTTTCAATTTCTTTGTCCATATATTTGTTATTCATGCTTATAATTATTAGTTTTGGACTACATATACATATTTTTACTTTTTCTCCAGTTGCGCCTTTTTTCATTAAAGCCCACGCTTTATTTGCACTTTGCGCTTAAAGCCCCAACGGACCTTAGAACGTTTTTGCGCTTTTCGCCTTTGATAACACTGCTTATATCTGGGATTTTTTGGGTACTGTTGTATTTTATATCTTCAATCTGATATGTTATATAGTATTGAACTATAATTCTACTAGCAAGTTTAGTTCTTTAGGGGTTTCTGTATTGTTTCCAAGAATTCAAAGGTGAAATCTTTTGGGATTATTCTTTGTGAACAAGCTTTCTTGTCATCAGCTTTATTATGGGAATTCTCTAGGTTCTAATTGTTTTATATATACTGTTGTATTTTAGGTTCTTCTGAGCTGTGAAGTGCTTGTTCTGATTCTAAAGGAGTGAAAAAGGATGCAGGTTCGTAACTTTTAAAAGCGATTTTTGTTATTCTGAGGACAAAACATTACAAAATATTACCGCATTTCTAATTATAGAATTGAATTGTTTCTATTTTTTCTTAGCTTGATCTGTAAATTTATGCGTCCTATTTGACGATCTTGATATTACCCAATGGTTCATTTTGGGTTTAGTTTATGTGTTTAAGTTTCTTCATCAATGCTTCAGAGCACAACTTTTATCATTTTGTGTTACATTTCATTGGTAAATTGGCAATTAATTGTGGGAAAAATTGATAGTTTTTGCAAAATTTTGTGGTGCACATGGTTTGCAATGTTATCAAAGGTGAAGAACGCAAAAAATCTCTAACGTCTGTTGGGCTTTAAGTGCAAAACACAAATAAAGTGTGGGCTTTATTAAAAAAAGGAGCAAATGGAGAAAATATAGAAATATGTATGTGTAATCTAAGATTAAAAATAATAAGCATGAATAACAAATATGGACGGACAAAGAAATTGAAAATAAATTACGATAAAGTGAAATATGAATTGTTTAGTGTCGCCCCTTTAGGATTACGCTCATTGGAAAGGAAAAGTATGCCTATAGCCTTGATGACGACATTGTAGTGCCTGCTAAGTGAGGTAAAGTGCTCAACATGTTTTGCACCTTGCTGCAGGGCTTAAGTGTGCCTTTGACAACAACGATGGTTTGTGATAGCTTTCATGGAGTTGTAGTGCGAAGTGACTAGATGTAGTAGTGGATTGTGATCAGGTAACTTTTGGACTGTGAGAATTGGTAATTAGTGAACAAAGAAATTTGTCTTGATGGAATGTTCATGGACATTATCATTGTAGGTTTGGACGCCATGAATCAAATAAGGATTAAGAAGTCACCCCAATATGGGGCCCAAGGGTGTAGCCTAGTGGTCAATGATGTCTCAGGTCCAAATCCCAGCTCCCAGCAAAGGCAAAAACACAGAGTAATCTCTTTCCATTTGTCCAAGCGGATAGAATTAGCCGATATTTGTGCTGGTGGGAGCTAACAGGTTTCCGTGGAATTATTCGAGGAGTGCGCAAGCTTGGCCCTGAGTCCCTGACACCATGGTTATAAAAAAAAGAAAAGAAGTCACCCCAATATGTAACTCACATAATTGTTAAAAGCCATTTTATTAGGTTTCAAACAGTATTAGTTTGACCATCATTTATAAACTTTGTGAGTGGATTCTAGGATTCCACATTCTTACCTAAAGTGTTTACACTACGGAAAGAGGGGTAAAAGTTCCTATGCCTCGCTTTTAGACAGATTTATGATCTCTACAAATGGGACGAGACATTCAAAGTCATAAAGCAGGCTGCAATAATGTCAAATGTCTTCTTAGATCATAAAAGCCTATTGTTCTAGAATGTGGGGAGTGGGTGCAGAAACATTCTTACTTTTAAGTTTGAGAATATGTGTCTGCAAGTAGAAGGTTTTATGCAATACTGAAGGGTGATGTTAGGAGATGGAACAGGGAAGAATTTCGTAGACTTGAAAAAAACAAACTTTTTTAGAGGAGCTCGCAGTTTTTGACCATGCTGCTGACAATAGGCAGCTCATGCAGGATGAGAAAAATAGAAAAAAAGAGAGCTAATTGGAGCTGGAAAAATTAGCAAAGGAAGAAGAAACTTCATGACGACAAAATTCAAGGTGCTTGTGATTAAGGACGGCGACAGAAATACTAAATACTTCAGAGAGTAGCAAATTCAGACAAAGAAGTAATTCCATCAATAAACGGCTGGTAGAAGGTGTGTGGACAGAAGATACTGAAGAGATTAAGACATTACTTCTTAAATACTTTCAGAGCTTAATATATGAAGATGAAATAAATTGGCTTGAAAGGCCTTATGAGAAAGAGATAGTTTTAGAAGTCATAAAGCCGTGTGCCGCTGACAAGGCTTTTGGTCCGGACAGATATATCATATCATTCTTCCAAAGAGCATAGTTTGTAATTGAGGAGCACATAATGGGATCTCTAAATCACTCCCATCAGAGCTGCCGATTATCGAAAGCAAGCAATGCTTCTTTTATAGCTTTCATTCCAAAGAGGAAAGGTGCTATAGAACTTAAGATTTCAGACCCATTAGCCTTATTGGAAGTGTTTACAAAATGATAGTAAGAATTCTGGCTGAAATGCTGAAAAGGGTGGGGTGGAAACTGGTGTTAGGGCAGTAAAATATCTTTCTGGCTGAAATGCTGAAAAGAATGGGGTGGAAACTGGTGTTAGGGCAGTAAAATGTCTTCCTCAAAGGAAGGCAAAGAACTAATTCGTCACTTGTGGCTTGAATAATATGTAAATTAGATGTGGAAAAGGCATATGACAACATCAGTTGGCAGTTCCTTTTTAACACCCTTCAACAATTGGGGTTCAGGGGAAGATGGCTTAACTGGTTAAGATTTTGTGCTACAACAGTGAGATATTCTATTTTGTTAAATGGTGAGCCTGTGGGGTTTTGTTAATCGCAAAGTGGGTGGTTTCTGCTTTTACTAGTAATGGAACCCGTTAGCAGGACGGTGGAGAAAGCAGTTCACCATCAATGGATTAAGTGATTCACTGTTGGTAGTAATGTAGGGGATGAGATAACAGTGTCCCATCTACATTTACAGTAAACGAGTATTATGAGAACTTGGTGTGCAGCAAATAGTATAATTGGAGATTGGCACAATTAGTTTGGAGAACTAAAGCTCCCACTAAAGTGGCTTGCTTTAAATACATATATTCAGTTCATACTTTTACCAATCATAGTTCTTGTTGCAAACTAGAACCGTGCAAGCAAGATGAGTTACATATTACATTAATGTGGCTTACAACTATAACATTAGAAAGCATTAATTAACTATAACATTAGAAAACATAGGCATTATTTGGTCTCTTCTCTCTACAATTATCTGCATCTTGGTCAATATTTTACTTTTGTATACCTTTGAAAATTTAAACTAAAGGATTATATGCTGCGGCAGGCTTCAAGGGCAAGGCTTTTCAAAGAGTACAAAGAAGTACAGAGAGAGAAATCTGCTGATCCAGATATTCAATTAGTTTGTGATGATTCTAATATCTTTAAATGGACGGCTCTTATTAAAGTATGCTCCTTAATTGATTATGATCAACCTCTTTTTTCATGGTTAATTTCTTCCACCAAACCCCCCCACNATCCTTTTAACCTTTTTAGTGCTATTTGGTTTCTGCTGAGAATAAACTTGCTGGGAGTCTGATATCCTGAACTGCAGCAAAGACACAAGTGGAATTTGCTACATGTTTCCTGTTTTGACTTTGTTTTATGGCACTTTGTCCTTCGAAAAAGCAAAATTTTGTAAATGCTGCTGGTGTGATAAAGATGCTGCGAGCTGATTTTTCCAAAACGCTAACATTAAAATGTAGAAAAACGCATGGAGCAAAATTCATTAAAAATGCCGTTTTCCCCTCGCCCCCATGCTTCAACGAGACCTAAATTTTAACTTAGGATTCCGATTGATTTGGCCATTATATTGTGTAATATTTCACTGTCAACCAACCAACCAATATGCCCTAACTTCAAACTAGTTGGATCGGCTATCTGGGTTGTTTATATCCATTTGGCTATATCCTAGCCAAGTATTTAGTGGATTCATCGTACTTATATTATTTTTATGCTGAACGTCAACCTACTGCAACCTTCCTGATTTATCGGCTTGGATCTGCTATACTTTGCCAATAAACCGAGTTTGAGATTAGCTGTTCACTATTGGTTTTTAATTGCTTTAGTTACATTATTATATGCAATTATAGTACTGAATGTAAGAAGCACGTTCTTTATGCTAAAAGTCATGTACCTATGCCATTAACAATGGTGTGGAATTATAGCGGAGTGCCTCTTGCAGATTCATTTAGGCCGTTCCTAGTTTTGTACTTGTATCTGTAGAGGCTAATCCCTTGTTTGGAAATATTGTGGTTATCTGGTGCTGCAATGTGTAGTTTTGTTATTTTCCTGGAATGAGAGAACCAAATCATGCATTTCTAGATGGACTGAGAAAGATCTCTCAACTAAAATTAAAAAGCTGAAATAATATTTGACACACGTGTGCTTGTCTTTGTGTCCTTTGCAATGTTTAAGAATTTATTAAAGTTGTTGTACAGTTGGTTCTTACTAACTTACGAAAATTCTTTTCTTTTGTTTTTGCTCAGACTGGAGAGATTTGCCTTGATATTTTGAAGAATGCATGGAGCCCAGCATGGACACTCCAGTCTGTTTGTCGAGCTATAATTGCTTTGATGGCTCACCCCGAAGCTGATAGTCCACTAAACTGTGACTCAGGTACTATGCGATGCCTTGATTTGGTGATTGCAAATGCATCTCTTAGAATCCCTTTGATTCCATTTGGTGAATGCACTTTAGAGAAATGCATGCTTCAAACAATAACGCACAGAGTGATCCCAATGAGAAGCAATCAGTTCTTTGAATCTCAAGTTTGAGGAGTTGATTAATATCAATAGACTGTATATTGGATAATGAGATATAGTTGTTTTTAAACAAAAAATTATTATTATATTACTAAAGTTATTATGTTTGGTATTTTTGACTTTTACCTAAATTTTCCACTTCATTTCAAAGAAGCGTGCACTTGATTACACACCTTTGGCTTCAACTGTCATGGACCTTGTTGCTCTTTTGCACTTTTTGATTTTAAAAACACCGGAAGAAAGTGAAAGAAACAGTTTGATGCTACAGCGGCAACAAAGAAAACAGATGGATGAAAGAAGGGGGAGGGGGGGGGGGGGGGGGCGAAAAAGGCAGGAGATTCAATGTCAATCTTCATTGGTGATGNTTAGAGGAAATGAAAGGGGAGAAAGGCGCGCAAAAGTTGTGCGGAGAGAAGCACTGTCATCTACCTAGAATCTGAAGAAAATTATAATTGCATATCGAACCATATACCAACTTGTCCCCAATTATAATTTTCTTCAGATTTTAGGTAGATGACAGTGCTTCTCTCCGCACAACTTTTGCGCGCCTTTCTCCCCTTTCAATTTCTCTAATTAGATTATTTCTTGATGCTAATTTTCTCTGCCTACTATGTACACAGGCAATCTTCTTCGGTCTGGTGATATCAGAGGATATCAGTCGATGGCAAGGATGTACACTAGACTTGCAGCAATGCCCAAGAAGGGTTGAAAACGACGAGCTTGTAATAATGGCATTAACAAAAGTTGAATCATTGCGCATCTGTTTAGTGTTTTCTAACTACTGTGCATGAACTATTGTGTATTAATTTTTTGTTTTTTCGCAGCGATTTCTGGTAACAACTACTCATCACTCTAGCAGGTTTCTTGTGCACCTTTAGCAAGTGGAATATGTTTAAATCATCTTGATTTTTGCACCTTTCAGAAAGAATGCTTGGATAGCTGATTTAGATTGTTCGTTGTTGTAACACTATGTTCCACATTGATACTACCTCAGGATGACAATGTCTTGTGCTTGTGATTTTTTTTTTTGTTATTTGGGCCTTTTCTCGATTTGTATTTGTCATCCTCAAAAAGAGTGGGTTGCTTTAGTGGTAAGCACCCTCCACTTTCAACCAATAAGCACCCTTCACTTCCAATCAGGAGGTTGTGAGTTCGAGTCACTCCAAGAGCAAGGTCGGGAGTTCTTGGAGGGAGGGAACCGAGTGTCTATTGGAAACAGTCTCTTTACCTCAAGGTAGGGGTAAGGTTTGCGTACACACTACCCTTTTCAGATCCCACTAATGGAATTATATTGGGTTGTTGTTGTACTTGTCATCCTTGGGGTAGGGGGCACGCTACTTTTTCTGTGTTGTTCCAATTTTATTACTCCTATGTTCACTTTTATTTGTTCACTATACTAAAAATATATTTTCACTTTTACTTGTCCACTATACTAAATAAAGAGAGATAATATATATATATATATA